TGGCACTGTGGCTCAAGTGGTAGAGTGCTAGCCTTGAGCTGAAGAGCTGAGGGACAGCGCCCAGGCCCAGAGTTCAGGCCCCATGGCTGGACCCAATATATATATATATATACATGGAAAGGGCCAGGTATGGGTAGCACATGCTTGTAATCCTAGCTATTCAGGAGGTAGAGATATGATTATCTTAGTTTGAAGCCAGCCCAGGCAGACAAATCCAAGAGACTCTTCTTTACAAATTAATCATCAAAATGCTGGAAGTGAAGGTGTGGTTCAAGTAATAGATGCTAGCTTTGAGCAAAAAAGCTAAGAGCATGAGGCCCTGAGTTTGAGCCTGGTTCAGGTACTCATGCAACTGTACATGTGCATTCACACACGCACACATGCACACGTGAGTACACACACATACACAAACACACACACACACACACACACACACACGCACACACACACTTCTCATATGTATTAGGAGAAAACAATTTAATTCAAAGCTCCCAAGAGCCTCAGGCCCTTTCTTAGCAAAGGAAGGGTTATGAATTCCATTGTTCCCATGAGTACAAGCTGCCTTCCCTATTAGCACTTTGAATTCATTACATAATTCTTTGTAGCTACATTTGATTATCTTTGACAGTTTCCATTGTAAAAAGTAGTGAATAAGACAAACAAGAACCTCCAGCCTGCACAGCTGAAATTCCTCACATCACTGTCCACTCTTGCCTCTCCCCCTAGTCCCCTCCCCTGCTCTAACTTCCCCCAGGAAAAACCCTTCAGGGTCTTTGCATGGAGACTTTTATCCCCAATTAACTAGCAGAGTCAAAAGTGGAAGAAGCAGGGCTCAAGTGATAGAGTGAGAGGCCTGGAGTTCAACCCCCAGTCTCTAGTATCAGTACCAGCACACATACACACACACACACACACACACACACACACTATGCTGAGTGTTGTGGTACGTGATAGCAATCACAGCTATGCATAAGTAAAAGAATAATGGTCCAGTATATTCCCTGGCAAAAGTGTGAGACCCTATCCAAAAAAACAAAAATAAATAAATAAATGTCCCTTTAAGTATAAAGGTCTTGAAGTATGGCTCAAGTCATAGAGTGCCTGCTAAGCAAGTATGAGGCCTCAAGTTCAAATCCCAAAGCCAACAACAATAAAAGTGCTTTGTATCTATTTTTTTTAGAAATATAAGACCTAAATTGAGATCCTGCCTCAACGCAGAATCTTACTCAGATGAGCCCACCCCATCACCTCATCCAAATGCACAAGACCAGTCAATCAACAACTGAGACAGTTGTCCATGGCTTGAAGGTGCTTAATGCAGGGATCCCCAAACACCCAGGGCAGATCTGGAAAATACATCAGTAGACCAAATGCAGTAACCAAGTGACCAGGCCACCCCACCTCATGGGATCTGTGTGTCCAGATCTCCCCACCTCTTAGAACCAATGTGTAAAGGGATCCCTCATTTCTGGGTTAGAGACAGCAGAAAGGGAAGGAAGATGCAGAGGCTCAGTGAATGAACCAGGCCATTTGGGGTGCAGTTGTCTGGATGGGGAGCACCGAGCGGGAGAAGGTGTGAGAATGGGAAGAACAAGAGTCATCCCCATACAGCTGGCATCCATGGGGCTCAGCCAACAAAGTGAGTCTGAACAAGTTATGAAAGAGTTGTAGGCAATAAGGAGGGTCAACATGTGGGGCTCAGAAGCCACATGACCTATTGCTGATCATGAAAGAAGCTATTAGCACCTAAGTTAAAACACCAAGAATGCTGGGTGCTAGTAGCTCATGCCTATAATCCTAGTTTCTAAGGGGGCTGAGATCAGAGATCTGAGGATCATAGTTTGAAGCCAGCCTAAGTCAGAAAGTCCATGAGAGTCTTACCTCCAATTAACCATCAAAAAGTAGAGCTGTGGTTCAAGTGGCAAAAAAAAAAAAAAAAACCTCAGGGACAGAGCCCAGGCCCTAAGTTCAAGCCCCAAGACCACCATAGGAAAAGAAAAAAGAAAAACACAAAGTAGGACCAGGATTTAAGCCAAGTGTCCATTTCACCCTCAGGGCTGTAAGTGGCACAGGCACAGGACCTCTTACCAGCCAATTAGATCCAGATTTTCATTTCTCAGTGTCTGCTCCACCCTGTTCCTCATTGTTAGTACAGACTGTCCATGGCCAGCACTCTGCCCATCACCATCCTTCCCCTACACCCTGAGATTGTCTCTTCATCACTTACCAGGACTCATAAATACCTGTAGCTGGAGGATCCAGTGCCCAGAAGGAAATGTTGGTGGTGAAGGCGGGGCCCTCTCGTCTCTTGTTTCCTTCCTGCACTGGCTCAGTCCCTCCCTACTGTCAGTCATGCTGCCTAGAGACAGGCCGGACCAGGCAGTCACTGCAGTGACCAGCTCTGTGCTTTCTTCAGGCCCTGTTCATTGTTTTCAGCGCACACTTGCCTCCAGAACATTCCATAACCTCACTGTCACCTGGGTTTTACATCTCTACATTTGCCTCTCTTGATTATTCCTTGTACCACGGAGCCTCAGTTTCCCCATCTGTAAATGGAGATCACAAAAAGCCCATCTGGAACAGGTAGGGAAAAGGGTGCCATAGGAACTTTGAAACTGCCAAAGCCGTGGTTCTAGTCCAGGTTCTAGCCTGGGAGGGCAGGGAGTAGGGGACAGGTATTAAAGGCATGTCAGTTCTAATACCATAGAACAACATGCTCCAGGCCTGAGATATACAGGGCTTTCAGTCCAGTAAGGCTGTGAGGGTCCCTATACATTTGGAGGTTCTAGTCTCTGCAGAACAAGGGCCAGCCCCACACCCCAAGAGCAGAACTTGGGCCTCTAAATGTCTATAAAAGCCCAGCTGAGGAAAACCACTTCCTCCCCTCCTTACCATCTTTCAGCTACTGTGTAAATTTCCGGCTCAGAAAAGATGTGTGGGGGCCCAGCCAGTCAACTCACAAGCTTAAGCAGGGTGGGGGAGCTAAGACAAGCAGGCAGAATAGAATGCTCGGTGCTTCAATTTCTTGTGCAAATGGCTGACAAAGGCCACCCTTGGATATTGGGGAGGACCAATCTGAATGTCAGATGAGCTACCCACCCTGACAGGGAAACGGAGTCTGCTTAAAGTCACAATGCTGGGTCCAACTCCAGCAGCAGCTCCACATCCCCTACTGCCCTGTGCCTGTCTTCCTTCCTCCAGCAGCATCTCAGAAGCCCCAGACCTCCTTTCTGCCTCCCCAAACAATAGCTCACACCCCACAGCACTCATCCGCCCCAGGAAAAATGAAAATGGGCTAACCATCCACAATGACAAAGGCTCTCTACAAATCCCACAGGCCCCAGACCCCAACTTCCAGCACACACTTGGTCCCTAGGTCCTTATCGCCCCCTCCCCCACTGTCCTCACACTGCACAACATGAACATATCCTGTACCATCATAGCTGCTATGACCCTGCCCTCGGGCTGCCAGCCTCCCAAGGTAGCCTCACCACTGCTCTGAGCAGACCAGGCCCAATCACTGGTGCCTAGTAGGTCAGTGGGCTCAACTCTCTTTCCTACTAGTAACCCATTAGATGGGCCCACCTGTCATTTAAATTTTATAGTCCAAAGCCACGCTCCAGTGATTCATGCCAGTAATCCTAGCTACTCAGGAGGGTGAAATCTAAAGATCACAGTTCAAAGCAAGGCTGAGCAGGAAAGTCTGTGGAAACTCTTATCTCCAATTAACCAGCATAAAACCAGAAATATAGCTCAAGTGGTAGAGTGCCAGCCTTGAGTGAAAAAGCCAAATAAAAGAACAAGGCCCTGAGTTCAAATCCCAAAACCAACACACACAAAATAAAATTATTTAATTAATTTTTTTCAGTTTATGCAAAAGACCACCAAAGTCTGGATGGACATGAGTGGGGTCTGGGCCATAGCCCTATTTTATAAGGCCAACCTGTATGGGTTCAACCCTGAATGGCCAGCTTTGGACTTGTTCCCATCTTGGACTCCTCTGGAGCACAGAAGTCACTGACTACCCCATCCATCCTGTGAGCCTGTGCAGCACCCAAGCATGGCAGTCACACTGCCTAGCACTGTGAAATTTATGAAGCCTTCTCACACTTACCTCTTGATATCTCACAATAATGCTAGAGAAATCCATAGCCAGACAACAGTGCGGAACAAGACACCACTCACATCACAAGACAGCTTCCTGCCTTGTAAACATCCGTCTCCCACAAGTGACTCTTGTTTTGTTCTGTGTACTTTCTGTAACCCCGAAGTTTCCCCTTCCAGCACCAGACAGATACTTAGTGAGGATCTTGGGAACCCATCCCTACTCACCGTCCCTCCAAGAAGTATGAGTTTCTCTTTCAGGGGCCGAAACTTCATGCAGTAACAATACAACTTCCTTTTTTTTTCTTTTTTGCAATATGGGTCAGAAAACGATGGCATATTTACATTTCCGGATTGTTCTGCAGTAGCCTGAGATGGAGCTTGGTTCATTGGTTCCCAGAGCCCTCATTTGCAGGGTGGTGGGGGTGACCTCGAAAATGGAGTTCTCACACCCATAGCCACAGCAACCCAAGCTTGGTTAAAGTTTAACAGGCTACTGGGCAGGAGCCCTGGGTATACAGACCTACCATGACCACTATCCCACTTCTGCCTCAGTGGGCTTCCCTAAGTAGACCTGTGGCTTCAAAGGTCTTCAGAAAGGAGGCATCTGACATGGGTTGGCCAGTCCAGGCAGGTCCAGAAGCCCCCTTGGAATCTTCCTCAACCTTCATGGGTTTCATGCATGTTAACAGTAAAATGGCTATGGATGGTTGAATAATGGAGAGACGCCATAACAAATGCATATTTTCTGGTACCAGGGTTTGAACTCAGAACCTCACACTCTCATTTAACTTGCTTGTTCACAGCTGGCATTTAAGTCATGCCTACAGCCTGGCTTTGTGCTGGTTAATTACAAATGGAGTCATAGATTTTTCTGCCTAAGATGGCTCTGTGTGTGTGTGTATGTGTGTGAAAGAGAGGGAGAGAGGCAGAGAGAGAGAGAGAGAGGCAGAAAGAGAGAGAGAGAGAGAGGAGATTGCACTGGTACTGGGACTTGAACTCAAAGCCTAGGAACTGTCCCTGAGCTTTTTTGCTCAAGGATAGCACTCTACCACTTGAACCACAACTGGTTAATTAGAGACTAGAGACTAGAGTCTGACAGACATTCCTGACCAGGCTAGTTTTGAACCTTAAGCCTCAGTTTTCAGCCTCCTGAGTAGCTAGGATGACAGATGTGAACCGCCAGCACCCAGTTATTTATTTTTTTTAATTATCTTTAAATAGAATACAAAGGGATTTCAATTCAACATGTCAGTTTATGAGTGCAATGCATCTTGACCAATGTCATCCCTTTCATCATTCTCCCCTAGTCTCCCAACCCCATCCATCTCCTTGATTTACCAGGTACCACTGATGCCTTCTTAATCCATCCTAAACATTATTTTTTGCCTGTCCTGGGACTTGAACTCAGAGCTTGGGTACTATCCCTGAGCTGCTTTTTACTCAAAACTAGAACTCTAGTGCTTGAGCCACAGCACCACTTCTAGCTTTTCTGTTTATATGGTACTGAGGAATCGAACCCAGGGTTTCATGCATGCTAGGAAAGCACTCTATCATTAAGCCACATTCTCAGCCCCATAAACACTTATTTTTAAAGCAAGCAGTATCTGTGTGCCTCAGTCTCCTTGTTGTTGAGTAGGAGCAACACACAGGGGCATGGCGGGAGGGGGCATTGTCCCCAAGAGCAACCATCCTTGAAGCACCTGTGCCAGTCCCTGACACCTTGCAAGTATAAGACAAACTCAAGTTACCACTGTAGAAAGCAATAAAAGGACCCATTAACAAGGAGGGTTTCTATAATCCAGGGTAACTTCCTTGAACATTTCCACAAAGTAGTTGCTCTATGCATACCCAAAGATTGTGTACTCAGCAAGAAATGGGACCTCACTCCCACATTCAGCAACTCCAAACGTATACCAGCTTTTTGTAGGGTAGGGCTGGTGGCAGAATAAAGAGGCACCAGGCTATGAGATGAATCTGCAGCTGAGATGAAGGGAAATCAAAAGCCTTCACTCAATTAATCACTGACCATTTATTGAGCAGCTAAACAACTAGCTACAGAAGTTCATCCAGCAGGCCCTGAAGGCAGTTACTATAGGAGGCTTATAGAGGCCTTTGTCTTTGCCACTCCTCCTGATACGGTGCTGGTTCTTTAGCTCCTTTGCTAAGCTGATAGCAAGGGACAGAGGGTAGGGTGCTCAGAGTCCAGTTGCTTCTCCAATCACTCTATCCTATTTTTAGGAACTCAGAGCCATGGGTCCCACATCCTTCTTGGAACCCTCAGATTCTAACTATCAGATCAAGCATCCAGGTTTTTCTCATCTGTATGTGTGTGTGTTGTTTGTTTTTGTCAAGACAAGAGCAGTATCATCCTAGCAGGGCAGGAACGGCATTGAGACCACAGTGTTTTTTTTCTAACTAGCCAGGACTGGGGACTCCTTTGTCAGCTTTGTGCCCCTAAAACAATTCCTACCAAATATTCCACCAGTAATAGTCCAGACTCCAGGAAACTAATGCTCCCCAGAGATGGTGTGGACCACTGTCTTTGAGTGGTGAGTTTCTTGGAATTTTCACTTTCTTCTTGATGCTTCTCAATAACATATAATATACAAAGAACATTTACAATATTTGTCATCGGGACAAAGCCAATCTATTTAAAAATAAGAAAATGAAAGCTTCTCATTGCGATTCCCAAGCAAGAGCTCTTGCACAATGAAAGCCAGCTGTCTCCATGTCTGTTTACGTACAGAAATGTTAATTTCTACTTAGCTGTCCTAAATGTCTCTGAGGAAAAATAAATGTGGTCATGAAACCAAGACGGAAAAGATACTGAGTGTAATTTTGCTTTCTGGAAACAGTTTTTGCAAAAAAAAAAAAATACTTTTTTTTAGTTTGAATTCAACTGAAATTGCATTTGATTCAGATAGAGAATATTTTTTTAAACTTACCTTCACTTAACTTCCCTTCTGGTCTGGCATTTGGAGAGTGCCCAAGCCCAAATCTGGAATCTGTGATGCCCACTTAGGACTTTAACCACACTAAGTGACATTAAGTGAACTCTTTCACCCCAAAATAAAACACCAGGCCATCGGAAGACTCCCTGGAGAAAGGCGTATGAAATTCAGGAATAGTTGATTAATCATCCTTACATTTTTTTAAACAAAAGAGAGCTGCTTTAAAACTATTTGATAGTTTAATCATCTTAGCATAAAGAGCCTTTAACCTTGAACTAGAAGAGCAATCTCAGCTTCCACACATAGCTAAAGTGACATTTTGAAAGCTTCCCAGACAGGGGGTGTAATTACAGGGTCGTACTGGCAGCCTGCTAGGATAACATTTGAGCTTGAAGTGGAAGCAATTGTTTCTTCTTATCTTCAACTAAAAGCTCTACCCTTACACATGAGCTGTGCCTGCTGCTTTAATTTTTTTTCTTTATGCTGTAAGAAAAAATTATCGATGTGTAAATAGCGAGTGATGCATAAAAACGGAAGCATTAGAGAGATAGCCACACCCCCACCCCATCAAGCACTGAATAGAGGATAATTCCAACATTGTTACAGGGCAGCTGCACCGCCTCCACCAGCAACACTCCACAACCCAAAGAGACATACATGGGCTCTGCCTATGCTCTTCATGTCCAGTTGACACCCCAGCTGTAAATAGCTGGAAACTCATAATCCTCATAGTGGAACTGCTGTACTCTGACCTTTAAACCATGCATGACCCAGGATCTTAGACACCTAGAGTACATCCAGACCCCTAGGAGACTTGAAGAAGCCTGGGATCATCCAGGAGCGTCTCCAATAATCCAAGAGATGATCTCGCACTTTGTAGATGAGAAACAACTGAAGCCTCTGACCCCAGCTTAAGCTCCACCCAATAGTGTCTGTGAAACTCAATTTATGAAAATGAGGAGGTGCTCTCAGGATACAGTCTCACCCTAAAGCAGAAGGACTGGAAAGCAGCCATCAGCCCTGGATAAGCGATGCCATGACCCTAGGTGATCTTATAGTGGACTACCATCTGCCCTACCTAGCACTAGGAAACAAAGAGACAAAATCTGTGCCAGAGAGCAACCAGGATTCCTTGCTGCTGAGAAATTGTTAACTTTTCTGTACCAGGTAAAACCTATGACAACTTCAGTAGGGCTAGTGTTTTCTCTCCTCTGTGCAATGTACAAAATGAGTCCTGTTCACATATGCACACATGTATATAGATATATGTGCACAGCTGTCTTTTCACTTCAGATAGATTTCAGACAATGATGTCTGCATTCTCAGGTTATCCTGAAAAAGCAAAAAACCTTCTTGCTATCCTAATTCATGGATGGATATAAAACATAAGAAAATACAAAGAGCATATCCAGGGAGCCAAGATTCAAATTATAGAAGAAACCATAGTATGTAGCCTTTTCAGAATGTTCTCAACCACATTCATCCAAAAAAGCAGGTTTCTTTAATGATTCACAAGCTTCCCCACAGCAGTATCAAAGACCTCTTTTCACTTTGGTTTACTTTCTTCCAAGAGCTGATACAAGACCATGCATGGGAGTTCAAGCCTATAATCCTAACTACTTGGAAGACAAATTGGGAGGATCGTGGTTTGAGGCCAGTCAGGGCCTTATCTCAACAAACAAACATATATCGTGCTAGGCATCTGTCATCCCAGATATGAGGGAAATAGAATTAGGAATAATGAAGTCTGGGATAGCCAAAGACCCAATTAGAAAAATAACAAAAACAAAAAGGGCCAAGGATATGGCTCAAGTGGTAGAGAGCCTGCCTAGTAAGTGTAAAACCTAAGTTCAAACCCCAGTACCACTTTAAAAAAAAAAAGAGGGAGAAAGAAAAGAAAGGAAAAGAAAAGAAAGAAAAAGTAACAGAAGGCTGGGAAGGAGGCTTAGTGGTAAAGTACTTGCCTTGCATGTATGAGGCCCTGGGTTCAATTTCTCAGTACCACAAAAGTAGAAAAAAGCCAGAAGTGGGGCTGTGGCTCAAGTGGTAGAGTGCTAGCCTTGAGCTGAAGAGCTCATGGATAGCACCCAGGCCCACAGTTCAGGCCCTATGACTGGTCAAAAAAGAAAAGAAAAGAAAAGAAAAAGACAGAAGGCTTATGTTGAACAGCAGCATTAACAAAAGAAAAATAACAATAACAAAAGAAAAAGAAAAGAAGACAATTCCAACATCTGAGATGAGATCTCATTATCATAAGAA